AAGAAAATTTATCATTCTGGGAGCCTCTGGTGGCTTTAGGACTGAACCAAGTGCTTTGCAGACAGTAGAAACTCAGTTTTTCCTTTGGTCTCTAAAGGCAGCCATTTTCCTTGACCTCTATATGAAAACAGCACCATGATCCACAGCTCCAACAGAAGTGCTACTGCTGTGGGTGCTCTGTGCAGTGGAGGTGAGATCTGCAGCTCTGGACTCTAGGCCCAGTGCTTTCAGAGGCTCTGGACTGGTCTCTTGGGCTGAGGCAGCATCATGTAAATCCTAGGGCTTGCTAATGCTTCTCCTTCAGTTTAAAGAACATCAGGCTTGTCTTCCTAGCTAGGTTCCTAACTTTGAATACAGGGACCATTATTCTTTGCAGAGTTCTTAGCACAAGTTGGTCATACAAAAATGCAGATCGATACTCCAGAAAAAAAGGAGGACTTGGAGGTATTCATTTATCCTCTTTTTTATCTATGTAATAGGAGGAGGTAACTTTTTCAGTACTTTATGCATTACAGTGAGTATCTTGGACAATTTATTTTATCCAAAACCATTTTCTTTTGTTCTTCCTTTCAGAATATGTTGGTCATATTGTTCCTATCGAGAATAAAAAGTTCATTAAGTTTTGACAGTGCTCTTAAGGTGCACAACTTCAGAAGGTGCCATTCAAATTTCTTTTACAACATCATGGATTCTTACCTATCAGGCTTCTAGGCTTTACTGTGGTACTCTTGAGAGCATGGGATTGGGGACTCTTCAAGGTTTCTAGTCTCTGGGACTCTAAAACATCCTATTCACTACTTCATTTTATGATGGAACAACCAAGTTCCACCTGGATCCCAAAGTGTTGTTGCTGTCTGAAGGGTACTGTCACATTCATCCAGATGACTAATACTTGTAAGAACACTGAGGGGAGGAAGGAAAGATTGTGGGCAACTATTCTCAGTCTGAGATTGTCTTAAGGAGTCTGTGGTTGTCTTTCTTAAGAGAGAGATTCAGTGTCAACAGATTCAAAGCAATGCACTTAGACCCCTTGTCTCATTCCCACCACCTGAGCTTCCCATTTTCTGACTCAGAAAATTTGATGTCTGATTTAATAAGCCTTGGGAAGTCTTTTTGCCTTCATAAAATCTTCTCCATTAGCCAGTCCTATGCACTTGAACCAGGAGAACCCTCCTTTTGTGTCAAATAATGCATCATGTAAAGAGTAAGGATAGATTTAAAACTAATTCATTGGTGTTAGAACTCAGATATCGCTACCCTTGGAGAATGTTATTGACTGCAAGGGGAAAAGAGAGTCTCTTAGTTGCTGGTAATGTTTAATTTCTCCCTTTGGGTGGTCCCTTCATGAAATATGTATGGCTATTTAAAGTTAAGATTTGTGGATACTTGGGGGGAAGAAGCTTAGATAACAAGAGATAAAAGGGAGAGTTTGTTCTTTTCTGAGTGTTACAGCTTGTATCTAGATGTCCCCACAAAGTCTCATGCAATCATAGATGGGGAAGTTTTGAAGGTGGCTTGATTAGGGTATGTGAATGTGGATTAAGGGTCTGATACTGGGATTAGAAGTCTAAATAATAGAAACTCCATGTTGGGTGTGAGTGGCCCGTGTCCTGGTTGAAATTTAAAGGGACAGAAAGAAAGCAAGGTTGCTGCTGCTTGCTGCTTTCTACCTTCTTCCTGACACACCATGGACGGTTTCTCCACTGCAATGCTTTTCTGACATGTTACCCTGCCTTGGAGACAGCTGAAAATGGACTAAATTATCTACAAACTGAGACAAACATTTTCTCTCTTAACTTGCAAGTGTCGGATATTTTGTCTCAGCAAAAAGAAAAGTAACTAAGTTGTTGGATTCCAGCTCATTCTACCAAAGTTCTTTTGAATAAAGAGAATAAGTCCTTAGTGAATTGATGCTTTTCCTCAATCTCATTCCCATTTTCATCTAAAAGTATAAAAGAAAAAAGAGAAGTGAGCAGGTTCCAGGGAAGACTGGGACAGAGAGGGCCTCTTTTGGTTCAAGCCAGAGATGGTGCCAGAAAAAGGTGATTTTGTGAGGCGGCTCATTTCAGGAATTGTGGATCCAGCAAAAAAGCAAACTATGTGATTCCTTCCAATGTGACCTGATTCTTGTTAGCTGATAAGACCCTGGATACCAGATATCTTAGTTACTTTTCTCATTGTTGAGACAATGAGACCTGACATCCAAAGTTAAGGGAAGAAAAGTTTATTTAGTTCACATTTTGTAGAGATTTCAGTCCACAGTTGACTGGCTCCAACATAGAGTGGAACATGGCAGAAGGCAACCATTCATGGTGGTAGAAGACAGCAAAAGCAAGCAAGTAAGAGAAGGAAAGATAAGCATCTTCTGTCCCTTCTATAGTATCCAGTCTTCTGGGATTAGGGGGGTGCCTGTCCAATCAGTGGACTGATTCAACAGTCACCCACCCTTAATTCCAGCACCCTTGATACCACCATTGCACCACAAATAAGTCACACACTCTAAATGCCTCTGAAAAAAATCCCTGGGATGCATGAGGCTTTCAAGGGACATCCAGATACACAAAGCTGTGTTTTTTATTTGGAAAAGAGATGTGAAGAGCTTGACTGAGAATCTCCCACCTCATACTCTCCACAACCAAAGATGTTTCTTCACTCACTCACTCTTCTGCCTTTTTTCTTGTTCATGACACTCAGGATCCTGGGGTCACCAGTCCCACGTGTGTGTGTGTGTGTGTGTGTGTGTGTGTGTGTGTGTGTGCTATCTCGTGTTTCCCCTCAGCTGGCAAATCCTCAGGTTATCTATGTCTCTACCAAGCTTCTGAGAAATCCTGAGGCTGAAGAGGTTGTCCCCATGTTCCTCTGGCAAGGATTACCATGTGGAGGAGTACAAATGGATGGAAATCTTTTGGGAAAAGATTTGGCTCTCAGGGACTGTCATTCATGTTGTCCATCAAATAATTTCCATGTTCAGCCGTGGAGTCCTGCTTGTTTATTTTGCACCAGTTGGGTCCAAAATTTGAGCCTGATGATCTCAATAAATCCTTCCTTTGGTGTTTTTTGTTTTTCTCCTTCAAGAACATCAGTGTTGAGTTGATAGTGCACAATGGGCCCCCCAGCCCAGCTGTTTCTAATGAATCCTGGATATCTGCTTTGTTTCCATAGAACAAATGAGCCTCATTACTGACAGGCCCACATTCTCCTGATGCCTGGGCTCTGATTCAGAGTAGTGATGGAACCAAATCTGAGCACGGCATGGAGTCTGCTTTTACTTGTTATAACTGAAATTATTTCATATCACTCTCTGAGCCTTGACAATTCTTCCTGTCTCAAGGGTTCTGCTCAGAGAAAGATTCTGAGAAAAAACTCATGTCTCCTAGAAATATCAGCATGCAAAAAAATTTAAAGTTAGATCGACAACTATTGGCGTTGCTGAGGTATCACCCTGTGCATCTGTAAAATATGGCACATTCTCAAGCTCCACCTTATTTTATTCTACCAGCCCTTTTATAAATGAGAACTCTGGTTCATGAAGTTTCTGTAACCTGTTCAAGGTTACACAGCTAGTCCTGTGATTCTCAGTGAAGTGCTTTCTAACTCCATTATCCCTGTTATTAAAGGTATTGAGGTTAATAATCAAAATAAGAAGCCAACTGTGAGATTTATATGAATGTCTTGTTACACTGAGGTGAATGTTTTGGAAAGACATTCAAGGCAAGGGCTGCTCAATAAGAGGGACTTCCTGTTTCAGGAATCTCCTCTTGATGCCTGCCTGTGGGAATGGCTCAGTGGATTTTTAGATTCACCTGCAGAGTTGAGCAGTCCTGGGTCATTAAGGAGTGGAGAGCGGAGCTTGAATTTGAGTGCCTTTTACACTTTCCCTGAAGTTTCTATTTTCCAGGTTGGTTTCTGTGAGGGTGACATTCACTGAACTGCTATCTTGAGTCAAAAGTTGTACCCCTAATACACAAAATTCAGGGGTTTGGAAAGTGTGTAATAACGAAGTTAAAACTATGATTCAGGCCCTTTACTAAGAGTGTTACATGAATTAACTCATTTACTCTCCAAAGAAACTTTGAGTTTTCCCCATTTTTTCAGCTGAGAAATCTGAAATTGAGCAAGTCATTTATTCAAGGTCACAAAGTTGAGTAAGTGAGGAACCCAGTCTAATTTGAACCTAGTTTCATTCCATAGTCTGAGCTTCTGATTACTTCAATGTAGCACCTCGAGGAGGTCATGTAGAACGAGCCCTTTGTTCCATGGACATGGAATTATGGTCCTGTGTTCTAAGATCCTCTTAAGAGGTTGGTATAGGACTTTTCTAAGCACTTTTAATGGACTCTAAGAAATTTTCCTTAAGAGACAAGAGAATTGTGCACTTCTGGATTTGAGTTATGCACTGACCAGCATTCTTATCATACTGCTGATTCCCAGATCTGTGAAATGGGAATTGACAGAGGACTTTGCATTGTAGGTGCCTGAAACTCAGTCTCAGATCACACTTAACATTATGGGTTTTTTTTGTTTTCCTGAGTAAAGAGTAGCGTTACACTCTTCCAATCAAGCAATTGACCACATACGATAATGTTCTAACAGTTATTAAGGAAATGTGGGTCTACTTATCACCTCCTATAACTAGGCAAGTGGCAGCTCTAATTCTTAATCTGAAATCCATAGCTATCCAGCAATGAAGTTAAGGAGGATTCTTGAACCTGAAAAACTATGTAAAATTATGTAAAAATAGTTATACAAAATTACAATTTGGAACCATGTATACATGTGTACATTTTTCATTAAAACCTCAGAGGGATCCAAATATTTAACAGTCATTATCTACATTTAATCAAATTATTTGTGTATCTTTTCTAAGAGTAAACATGACAGACTCTGAAAGCAATGGTTTTAGGATGGGCAGAAATTATAAAGATCCACATGATATTTCACTTCCCTAACATCTTTTATATAGAATTTATTCAAATAAACCTTCTTGAATATATTTACAGACTGGATTTTTCCATCTACCACATGGAGACTTTTTCATTGAGCCTGTTAAAAAGCATCCACTGGATAAGGGAGGATCCCACCCACACATCATTTACAAGAACCAGAAGCAGAGAGTTACAGAGACGAAGGAGCCAACCTGCGGATTAAAGGGTACTGTGACTTAAAGATCTTACAAGTGAAGGAGTTTCCTCTTTTGATTGTTTTATTAAAACATGTCTTCTTATTCAGGGCTGTAATTTCCACTGTATTCTGTTGCTGGAAAGTATGAGCCTAGTGTAAATTGTTTCACTTTTCAACGCTCAAATTTTTTTTGTTTGAGAAGGAAGAAAAGCCTCTCCTACATCCTTTCACATTAGATAAGGGCACTGGTATGATAATCCTGACAGTATACTGGTTTTAAAAAATACAAATTATCTAGGTCTATACTCAAGAAAAACCATTTAAATAAGACATATTTTCAATATTAGCAGTATCATAATACATATTGTATAATATTACCAGAGACTTTATCACATCTGTATAGGGAAGGCAGACAAAAATTTTTAATGATGCTGATAATGTCATGTGAAGAGTAACAGAAACCCGTCAAAGCATGATGAGGTGATGAATGCAGCCAAGTGAATTTTGACCACAGTGGTGGGTGGACATTCATGAGCTGTGTTCAAGGCTTGTCCTCATCCCTTGGCCCTGACCTGAGTGACTCTTCTTTCCCTTGTGTGAGTTAAGGTAGTTTTCACAGATAAAGTGATCAAGGTTATTGCCTGATCATCCAGTTTCTTTTTAATGTCTGGGAAATGATAAACTATGCATTTAAAAGCCTATGAAAATTGGGACATTCCCTTAAAAAACATACATTTTCTCTCTCCAGAAAAAAAAAAGCTAGAATGACAGCTAACAAAACAAATAAATAAGCATCATTTGCTATGTTAAGGATTTAGAACATGGACCTCAAAAGGAAAATAGGCAGATGATGGCGTTAGGGAAGGGAGACCCTGGTAAAGGCTGGGGAGACTAGGAAGTGGAGCGTTGCAAATAGAATGGAAAGAAAATGGATAATGAACTGCTTTGCCGACTTCACCCAGTCTCTGCTTGATGGCAGCTTTCCTGCAAGTTTCTTCTACAATCTTGGCAGTGTGTGTAGCAATAAGAAGCCTTTCAATCTGTGTTTCCTGTGAACAAACTCAGATAGCTGCTTTAATTGTTTACCTTTAGTGCATAATTGCAATTTGGTCTTAAATTAGATAATTTACTATCTAAATCTTCTAACAAGTATTGAAAGAAGAGACAAATCATCCAGTTTATTTGCTTACTGAAGATACCACTCCAGATAACTTAGTCTAATGTAAATCTTTAGGACTCTCTGCTTGTCATTAACTGACTCTCCTAGGTAATTGCCCAATTTTTGTTAAATCTTGGGTGATAGAGAACATGTTGTGTGTGTGTGTGTGTGTGTGTGATTTGATATGTTTTAGATTGAGTCTTAGGTCTAAGTTTCCAGTTTGGCTGAGTTAGTAAAGCATTGAATATGTTTGGCTGAACAATTGTTTCTATAGATGTAATTGTGCTATAAAGTGAGTTAAGATAATGTCTCATCTACCCATATTAAACATCTGTCTCCCCATTGAGATAAATTGATTAAAAATTAATTAAGAATTACCGATATTCAGTCATGAGGGGAAGGATGAATGAATAGAAAAACAGAAGCTCAATTTGCAAATATCACAGTTCCTATTAGGTCACCTACAATATAATTATAATATCTGCAATACCATTTCATATTGTGTCTCCAGGCCAACCTTGAGACTTTGCACATCAACAAAACATTATCTAATCTTATCTTAGAATTATGTGAATTTCTTTCCTTGTGAATTTCTCTATACATTTTCTGAAAGACACTATCTTCTACTTCCTTAGTGTTAGGTTTTTCAGTGCGATTAAGAGATAAACAGAGGGAGCTAAAGAGACCGTTATTGGAGGCATGGGAGGGTTGCAGATAAGTGCAACTTCCCTCTGATCCAGACAAAGTGGTTGAGGTTTTATTAGATTGCATTGGGGTGACATTTGAGGAGGTGGGCAAGGTGAGTATTGGCATGCACGTGTGGTGAAGGGAAGAGGAAGTTTGTTTAGGGTGAGGGGGAAAGAAAGAGGACATGGATAAGCTGTTATCTTTGGCTCCTTTGCCAGGCTGGGCCTCTGCTGTGATGACCTGGTGAATTTTATATGAGCAGGAACCCGTCATTTAGAACCTCAGAATGTCAACCTTGATTCACTGTGTCAGAAGACCCTATGAAGGTGGCGAGCGCAGATTCCTTCTACTAAAGAAAGAGTTGTGGATCTGAGAATAATTTTGAAGTGCATCAAGCTAATCAGTAACAATATAGCAAGTCATAATTCTATTATACCATGGTACTTGAATATAAATTTTGTTTCATCAGCTACTGTCAAAGAATAGGGACTCCCTCCTCCAACAATGTGTAACACACTGTATTATTAGGTGCAGTGTAGAAACCGAGTAAATCAGTAAAATGAAATGGACAGAGTGCTTCACAGCCAAAAAGGCAAAGACAAAGTATATTGGCTTCTACCCTGTTACATTGATAGAAAGATAAAAGAAATAAATCCTTTCTTATTTTAGTTTTTTGTTTTAAAAACAAAAAAGATAAAAATGATAAAGAATTTTTTAAGAAGATAAGAAATTAACACTAGTTAATATATGGTGTCATTTATATGTATCAAGAAAGTATCAGTTGTTTGTAACCTTCACTCTTCCTAACACAATAATGTTTAAATCATAGCAAAAGATTACAAATGTCTAGTGTGTTCATAAATATTCTTAAACTATGTGTGACATGTAGAGTTATAAAATCTTGGTAAAATGAAATATACTTGATATTGCTGAACCACGTAATTGCAGTATTTTTGTACCTTGCTGCCTTGCAGAGATGATTGGAATAATTCATGGTAATTGTGTCACTGGCCATCATTAAGGTACTGTATGTTCAGGCCAGTTGATGCTGCAAGACTGAAATTACTGTGATTATAGAAAAAGGATCACCTTTACTATGTGGAAGCATTCTGCCTCTGTAATGTACACAGACAGTAAATGTATCAATTACTTTCCCCTAAAATCTGTCCCCTCACTTATTTTTATTTCCTACATAGAAAGATATGAGGAATTTCACAAATGTCAGCGTCAGTATGGTTGTTTATTTTTGCAAGACTGTAATGTGATGCAATTTTGCTTTTAATTTGATATTTTCTTAATATTTTAATTTTATTTTCTTTTTTGTGCTTTATATTTGCTGAACCCTAATGAAGTTTTTGTTTCCTCTCACATCAATTTTCTGGACTCTATGCTAAGTAGTCTGAAAGTACAGCTTACCTCAATTAAATCTAGAGCAGTTTTTAAACTTATTCGTCCAAGGTGTCAAACTCATTTTCTTTACGATTTTTGATGAGAGTGTGATCATGTTAGGACCTGAGTGGCTGTTAGATGGAGATGTATGGGGGGAACTTTGGTTCCAGAACACTAGGGAAGGAGTTCATACTAGTTAGACAGATTAGATGACATCAATTGCAAGTTGATCTACAGCAGGAAAGGTCAGTCTGGGATTTCATGCATCAGGACTTTAGGCGAAAAGTACAGTGTCTGTTTCCTCGTATGCATGTTTTCGTTCAAAATGCATTCATTGATCAGTAAGTACTTATTGTGTGCCCCTAGGCTCTGTAGGTACAACTGTGAATATAGTTCTTTGTCTGAAGTAAGTAGGTATCCAGTTTTATCTCTGTCACTCTCCCCCCATGCCCACTGCAAAGAGATGTGGAATCTTAATGGAATCTTAACACATATACTGATGTATTGAGGTTTGGTAACTCTACATTATGCTAAAATTGCAGTGTATTTCTATGGAGCTGCAATTCATTCATCTTTCCTGCTGCAGAATGTTGTTACAGACTCTTCCACTCTTAATCCAATCTCCTTTGTTTCAGATCCCCACTCCAGGTTTGAGCTATTCCACAGTGTGTAGCAGAGATTGTTCTGACCATCTTTCTACTGTACAGATGCATAGGGATTTCATTCTATACTAGGTACTCCTTTCCACTATTAAATGGAATAAAACCAATAACATAAATAAGGCGGGTGTGAGAGTTCAGACCTGTAATCCCAGCACTCTGGTGGACTGAGGCAAAGGAGATAACAAGTTCAAATCCAGCCCTGGAAATTTAGCAAACTAATGATACACCCATCTCCAAATAAAAAATCGAAGAAGGCTAGGGTTGTAACTCAGTGCAAAGACCCTGATTCTACCCCTAACACCTAACAAATAAAACAAAACCACACAGAATGTCTAAATTTATGACTTTATCAGGTAATACCAAAGTTTCTTTTCAAAGCTTGTATTCAAAAGTAGTGAATGAGTTCCCATTGTTGCATATTCTGTGTAATGCTGGTTGTCTCAGTGTCAAATTTTGTAACTGTGATATAAGGTAGAATCTCGTTATTCTTCATGTTAAACTACATATAAGCAGTTGCAAATTGGGCCCCAAATTGGAGATTCTCAAGGAATGATTTTTCTTTCATACATAAGGGTGAGGCCCAAACAACTAAAGTGTAGGTTTGCTCACTTTTTTGTGTTCTGGTTTGCTTTTTCACTTAGTCTCTAATGTGACTTTTCACAAATGAGGGTCCTGAACTTGACCCTCTTTCCCTGAGCAAAATATGTAGGGAACAGCTGATGCCCCACACTATGTGCTTGACCCATGCATCATTCAGGGTTCAACCAGAGAAGCAAACCAGCAGGGCAGTATGTTAAAAGATTTATAGCAAACCAGGGATTTAGCTCAGTGGCATAAGTGTCTACCTGACAAGTGCAAGGTCTCCAGTTTCGATCCCTGGTATCAAAAAACCAAACAAAAAAAAATTACGACAGATAATTGCCACAAGCAGTAATGGGGCTAGATGGGCCATGTTATTACCAACACCGGTCATTCTTGATTTCTAAATAGTTTTTGAACTGTCTGCCTTTCCCTGGCACTATCCCTATGTGTTAATATCTGGGATCTGGCAACAGCCTCCCTGTGAGTCTCTGTCTTCCACCAGAAGCTGGAGAATATTTCTAAACCACAGATCTTATTTTTCCCATGCCTGA